TATTTTAATAATGCACTGCCTCTTGATAATTCAGATTTTTCCTACAAATACTTTGTGTTGATGTATTTGGGCTTGTTTGTGTCCATCTGGGGAATTATACATGAAATGTAAACCTCAGCTGGAAAAACTGAATAAAAATAGTTTTGCTTAGTTGAGCTTAGCAACCAATGGAGAAATATGTACAGTTATTGTACCACTATTTTTTAATGCCATAATTGTGCATGGGATGAAATAGGTCCCTAAGAATGGTACTAGGACTGCTTTTTGAGCAATGATGTGAGTATTGCATTCAACAGTGACAAGTAGCAAAATGTGGCAGGGCATTTGAGCATGATAAAGTCACCATGTACTGTGTACCATCGGGAATGTGGAATGAGCTGGAGAGGTAGAAAAATAAAATACTGAATGCTATGAGCATTGCAGCCATCAGTAGTGGAATGGTTCAGAATAATTAATGTCTGTGGTGTCAGTCGAGCCTTAGACAAAAGAGATGGGGACCACAGACTGTCTCCCTGGAATATACGAAATGAATGAAGAAGGTGTGCTATTGCATGAGCAACCTGTCATTATCATCAGATGATGAATTTGTTTTCCAAGAAATATGGACTAAATGGAGAAGTGCGGGAACCAGCCTTGCAGCTTGTTATAACTAACAGGACTCATCTCAAGAGGGATAGGATTTATCTCAGCCAATTAGTCACATTTTTATTTAATCTCATCTTAATCTGGACGTGTAATACAGGTCAGATGAATCACTTCGTAAATGTGCCAGTTTCTCTCCATTGACTGTAATTGGAATCCAGATGACTTCTGATGTGGATGTCTACATAAGAGGCATCTCATTTAGTTTTAAATGTTTTATGTCATTGGGATTCCCACGTGCCAAACCCCAATGTTCACGTCATGAAAATTGGTGGACCGTAGTAATGTCAGAGACCATATTTCAAAAATAGAAGTAAAACGTATCAAGGTTTTCCATGAGACATCTAGTGGTATGCACTTAAAAATTAATATGTTACTAGACTATAAAGTCTGTAAGACAGGCTATTGAAATAAGCAATGAAGGAAAGGAAATTCCATATTTAAAACCACAGACCCACAGCATTGGTATAATCTTTTAAGTTGTGACCCAAATGAAAGATGCATCCTTGATTATGGCAAAAAGATAAGCCAAGGCAAAATAAGTACAGAATTGTAACCAGAAAAGTAAGTTTCTCATCACGGATGATAAGAATAAATAATTTTAAAATTTGGGCAGATGGGCACTAGCCAGGAGAAACTACAGTTCTTAAATATATTGTCTGTAATCAGTGATAAAGAAGAAATATTTAATGAAGGCACCTGCTGATAATAGTTAATGAGACTGACTGAAATGAGCTTCTAGCAGAGAAGAGTGAAGTTAGAGCAGAGACACTAAATGACAGAGAAGACTTCAGGAACATACTCTCTTTCTGGACTGATTCTGCTTCAAGCTATGTGAAAGGAACTGATAAGATGATTCAGGATGGGCATGGATGAGGCTAAATTCAGTTTCTTTTGTGTGGTCTGGAAGACTGTTAAATGTTCAGCCAGGCTCTCTGAGACCTGTCAATTCAGGGATATCAACATCAAAGCTATTAAATTAAATTCCTGTTTTGTATAATTTTTTTCATGTAGAGGTTTTATCGGAGGTAAGGACAAGGATGTACCTGTACCTCAGGTTGAGACAGACTATTCATACACCCAGCAGCACACTGTACTGTAATCAGATTTGTTGACTCCCATGTACACATACATGCACTAGGGCACAGAGGCTGATACCAGCTGAAACAAAGTAGTGATTTACATTATGATGGGTTATGGTGCTTACTTGGCATGTTATTATTGTTGCTATTTAAATAAAATCCCCTAAAGTTTATTTCAGACAAGATTGAAGTAACTATAGTACTATAAAACAGTCAGTAGGAACATTTTGTTTATGTAGAGGTAAAATATTATAGTTGTTCAACAGGTTGCAGACTTCCTTTTGTGGGCATTTGTAATTATTTGGGACCAAATCCAATTCCTAGTAAACTTGGTAGGAATCTTTCAGTCAGTTCCAGAGGGACTTGTATCAAATTTCTTTAAGTTTTTGAAGATGCCAAGTTTTATAAAGTTGACATTTTAGTGTTTGCTGGGTGCCTGATATGGTGAGGACCAAGACTTCCTTTGGGACTCTGCATAGTATCTGCAAAGGTATGCTTTGCCATGAAATTGTCTTAATTGGATGGGGTAATGAGGAGGTTAATGGCTCTACCTGGTCACTACGTTAGAAGTTGTTTGTATAATAATATAGGAAATACGGGGAATAAACAAGAGGACCTGAAATCTTAATCCATGACCAACAGTGCGACTGAACTAGCATAGCAAAGACGGGGTGGGAGGACAGGAAAGGGGAAGAAGCTGTTGCTGTTGTGTATTGGGTTCAGACACTTGTGCTGTGACCCAGCTGTAGAGGGAGTTGGACATACTGATGCTCTATGAGTAATACTAGAAGGGTAAAAGCTCATGGGCTCCATCGTTATGCAGGCGTTGCACAGACCACCAAACAGATCGGGTAGGTGGGGATTTTTATTGGCAGAGTACAGGGGATGGTGATGATGGGAGATTTTAATTAATCAGTCATCTGTTGGAAACCAATAAAGGAGAATACCAACTGCCCAATATGTTTTGCAATGCACTTTCAACCAAATTTTGAGATGGTGGGAAACACAATCGAAGGGGAAACCATTCTATTTGATACCAACTCTAAGGGAGAAACTGTTCAATAATAGGGAGAGAAAAGGCAGCTTTGAGTGAGAATTACCCTGGGATGACAGAGCTCACAGATTTCAGGAAGGAAAAGAGGTTGAGTAAAAGAATCAGAACAACAGGTTTCAAGGGGATATGAGAGGACTGTGGCCCTAATCTCTTTGGAAAGGAGTCTGGAGAAAACAAGTTAAAGGAATTGCTTGTTCCTCAAAGAAAAAATATAAAGAGGAAAAAATGCACATTGAGACAGCACAGGAGAAGGACAAAAAGCGTACTAAAATAAATCTGTCTAAAATATAAGCACCTCATTTCTATCAAGCACAAGAAGGAACCATGTAGAAAATTAAAAGTAGTTTGGATTATTCAGAACAAGTGCAAAAGAATAGCAAAAGATGTAGAGGGGGGCAGAATCAAAGAAGCCAAGGCCAAAAAGTGTGAACAAGAAAAGACTGTGTACAAAAAAGAACATGAGGAGTAACAGAAATTGTTCTGAAAGCATATTTCTGGTAAGAGCATGTTCCAGGAAAGTGTTGCTCTACTGCTTAAGAGAAGCACATCAGTCTTCACTAGTGGTATTAAGAGCATATGGAAAACTCAGCCTAGAACAGAGAAAGGACAAATCAGAGAGTACTTAATGTGTTAGGTTTTCCCAGGTTAGCTGTGCCTAAGACATGCTATACTTGGAAACTGGATCAATTGGCTAAATCAGTCTCAGCCCTGTTAGCAATTACCATTGAGAGTCCGAAGAAGAAAAATGAAAGAGTATAAAAAAAACAGAAAAATAAAAAAAATGATCCTTAAAAGGGTGGGGGAGCTACGGAGGGAAGAGGCCTGTCACAGATTTACGGATAATTTTTGTTCCTAGAGAAATTACAGACAAATATTCAAACATTTTGTAATTACCTGGAGGAAAGCAACAAACAGGAATCAGCATGGTTTTTTTGAAACTATCTAATACCCTATAACAAAAGATTGAAACTTGTAGATAAAAGAAAAGGAGCAGATGTCCTACATTTTTACTTTAAGAAACTTTTGAATGCTGCCTCACAACACTCCCCTATAAACAAGCTAGGGAACATCAAGCAGTGTCTTAATGTAAGTTGCATGGGATATAGCTGCAAAACTAGTTGGATAAGGTAACCTCCAAGCAGCTACTGCTGTTTCACTGCCATGTGTGTATTCCACAAGAGTTTATTTTAGACGCTATTCTGTTTTTTCAGTAATAATCTGGATTATGTATTAGAGAGTATGCTTATTAAATTTGCAGTTGTCACAAAGTTGAGAATGGATTGGAAGGATGCCACAGAACAGGATTAGAATTGAAAATGATCTTGACACATTGGAGAAATGGCTTGGGGAATAAGGTAATATTTAATAGGTGTAAGTGCATGGTACTACACTTGGGCAGAATAGCCATATACAGGACACAGGACAGCTGGTTAAGCAGTGGGTTTTGAAAACTATACGTTAAGTCTTGAATATTACACAAGTAAACATAATCAAGCTATTGTGAAAAAGGTATGGATGGATGAAAAAGACACATAGCCTGCAAAATGTAAGGAGTAATTAATCTGTTGTACTCAGTACTCTGCTCAGCTCAAATACTGGGTCCAGTTTTGAGCATCACACTTCAATAAAGATAGGGCTAACTGGAGGGAGTTCAGAGAATGGCAATGAGGATAGTTAGAGAGCTGAAAAACATGACTTGTAAGGAAAAAAATTGAAGAACCAGAATTATTTACTGTAAAAAGTAGAAGTTAGGTAGGAGAGAAAAGTTTTCAAGTATGAGAAGAAAAAAAAAAAAACAAACAAACCAAAACCCAAAAAACCCAACCAATCAAAACAAAACAAAACCCGAAACCACCTTGACCTTACACAGGTGAAGGAAATGATCTGATCTCTGCATCCAGTATGGATAGCTTAAATTCTAACAAGAAAGAATTAGTTTAGGCATCAGAAAAAAAAATCTGATAGTAAGGAAAGATCACTTAGAACAGGTTAGGTGAGAAATTTATATTAGAGGTCTTTTAAAACAGAGAAAACGTCCAAAAATGATACAAGTGTAGCTTTGTTTCACCAGCAGTTTGGAGATGACGTGCTATAGACCCTATCAGCAGTATCATGTGTGATTCTCTGTTGAGTGTGTTACATTACTGCGTATTATTACTGTGCCACACAATGCATTTTCTGTTCTGTAAATCCTGTGAAACACTGTTGTACTTTTAATTCAGATTATACTTCTTTTTATTTCAGTGTGTGCAGAAACTTACAATCCTGATGAGGAAGAGGACGACACAGAATCTAGGGTATGTAATGCTTCGAGTCAAATACTTATTTTTTCAGTTCTCAGGCATTAAATATAGGAAGAAAAATGTAACCAGCGTTACCATTCCTTTCCAAAACATCTGTATTATAATATACTTTAATAATCCCTTGGGTTTTCATGTTAAAGGAACATGTAAAAATTCTATGTAATAGTCACCCATGTAGGACCTGATGTGAGTATTATTCTAAATTGCCACACCTTTGATATGTGGTCTGTTAAGGAAACATTTTTGTGCAATTTTATTTGCCCAGAGAGTACCTGCTCCTAAAAGTACTTATCTGATGTCCTCATAACCTTGCAGTAGTTTCCTCAATATTCTACTATTTTTCATGAGGCAGAAAAAAGGTAAATTACAAAATCACTAAGATTTTCAGATATACAATGCAATAACTAATGAACTGTATTTACTTATTTTACTTATGTACCCTTTTAAAGGCATTTACTTAGCTTTTAAGATGAAATAGCATAAGTATGGCTTTTAAGACAAGTTTAAATGTTTATATTCTACCTAATTTCTGGCTTGTAAAACCGTCAAAAAGGTTATCCTATAGTATCACAGCCTTGAAACCCAGCATACCTTTTTAAGCATATGAATTGAATGAACAACTTGATTGATACTCACATTAACCAGACAGCGGTAGTTGAGTAAATCTCTGGCTCACTCTGATAGTGTCAAGTCTGTTGTTTACTCTGTGGAACTTCTGATATAAATTTAACACAGATACTATTTCACAAAATATTCTTTGGGAAGTAGTCATGGTAAACGGCTAAATGGTGGTGCTTTTTATAAAACATGCATGCTCCAAATATGATTAGAGAGTAGTAGAGAGTAATGTTTATGCAGCAATAGTTGAGATAAAGGTATCCAGAATGGCTTGCAGAAATGAACTGGATTCTACAAATGTAAAGATCTTGTTAGCTTAAATACAGCAGTGCTTCATTTGCTAATGCTATGGTGATATAATGTTATCATTGAGTGTTTATTCAAATCCTGAAGGTTTTGAAATGAGAGTGTTATGAAGCATGGCCAAAATATTGTGTAAAATGCTTAGCTGAATTAGCTCAGTCCTTCAGCTAGTGCTGCTATATGATAACTACTTTAAAGTTTTTTCTATTATATCCCTCAGATTATTCACCCTAAAACAGATGATCAAAGAAATAGACTGCAGGAGGCGTGCAAGGACATTCTTCTTTTTAAGAACCTAGATCCGGTAAGAGATTCTTTGTAATGAACAACATTTAGCAGTGCTGCTAAGAATTAATTCTCTTGAACTTTTGAAAAGAAGTTTACAAATTTAACTTTTGTAAGCTCTTATGTATGCTTTCTTCACCATTTCATAAACTCCAGAAATGCCATTTTTATAACTGATACATCATATATATAAAGCTTTTTGTTCACCACCATGAATTATCATCTTGAAGTACATTAATATGCATGTATACATTAATATGATTGTAAAGTATTGTATTTTCTTATTTTAAATCTTCTTGCTGTACATTGATGTATATAAAGTCATCAGTTAACTGGAACACTTAAGTTGTTTCTACTAGTTACTTTTTGTCATTCAGAAGTGTGCTGAGTGCTCCATCAAAGCCTAAAATTACCCCCAAAGCCTACAGTTTAGCTATAGATGTAATTGAACAAGCAACTTATGAAATAGAGGGAAAG